TAAGGCCCAGGCCAGGCCTATAGCTTAGGATGACTGGCTGCTCAGCGTTTGGTTGCAAAAACCTATCTGATAGTACAAAGCTTTTCCGATTTCCGACTAATGAAAACAGAAGGAAAATATGGGAAGCAAAAGTTAGGCGATTAAATTGGAAATCTTCGACCAGCTCACGTCTAGATGCGTTTGGAAAAAATATTTCAGCTAAATAAGAAAAAAGTGGTTTTTTTTTCGCCCTTTTCTGACGATCTTTAAAAATTGTTCGCTAAACAATATTAAAAATTGTTCTTCTTAATTTCAATTGTTTTTACAGCCTGTATAAATACGAATGGCAATGATAATAAAGGTGATGTTTTATAATCTTAATGATTTGATGTTTCTATTGCATAATCTAATCTAATATATAATTAATATAACTTTATTTTGGAAACGACGCTTTTAAAACAGCGGACACGCTCTTGCAGTGTGTTCATAATCTGTACAGCCATAATACAATATTAAAACAGAGGCGAGACTTTTAATACTATACGTTAGACAATTACACAAGTTGAATATATCACAGATCCTCTATATCATTTAACACTTACAATTATAACATTTACAGCAAAGCACAGTTTATATATTGCGGCCAACTGACTTATACTATTTTAATATTTATAAATAATAATAATCAAATTAATAACATAAGATTTGTACAGGCTGTTCATATTCAAATTTAAAGAGCAACAATCTATATATATATACCCTATCGGATTTTAATTACATTTTGATATACATATTTAATAAATTTTTGCTAGTCGTCACATATCATTTATTTTGCAAAAATAACAGGAGCTAATTTATGGTCTATATGGCAGAATTGCCTAATTGAAGAATGCTTGCCATCGAGGGGGCTCTCTCGGTCTATCGGCGAGGATTAAAGAACTGCATAAAAATAGTAAATTATTACAGTATTTATAATATGAAATTGGATATAAAGTAGTGAAAACATTAAAAGAAAAATCTATAAATACAGTTACATGAAATTCGACTGCT